GAACAGTGGATCCGAGCCACGAAGGTTGGGTATATATTGACGAGCCCAAGGAGGGTGGGGGAGTTAGAGGGTGGGAATGGGAAAAGAAGGGGGTTGTGAACTTGGACAGTAGGCCCCCGGACCACTGGATACCTCCCCATTCAGTCGAGGAGCATTTGGGGGCACAACAGAGGGGCCAGGGCCTCACAAACACGAGATTGCTGCAAGAACCGCAACCAGGCCACTTTCTGAAGGACATAGACACGACGGAGCTATGGCAAACAGTTCCCAAAAAGAACCCGCTCCCTAAACAAATAGGAAAAGCCAGCAAGAGCACAAACATGAACAAAGGCAATGGAGCTCTACACCGCGACACAAACCACTTTGCGATGTTGGGAGCAGCAGGAAGTGAACAAGGGACCGTGCCTTTGGGAGGGATAAAGACTGTAGACACACCACCGAGAGAACAGCTGGGGGGCACAGACCTGTACGGGCGACAAGAGAGCCGATGTGTGCCTATGGGAGAGATAGGGTTGTAGTAGCGCCAAAAACAGGACCAACGGGGGCCGACACACAACCCGGTGAATACGCAACACCGCCCGAACAGCTGGGGGACACAGACCTGTACGGGCGACAGGAGATCCGGGCAGAGCAACTCGGACCCGTGCCAATCTCTAGAGAAGTGACAATGAAGTCACAGACGGACAGTAGCACTGCCTAGGATAGTCAGCGAGCCCGCCAGAAAGAGAGAGCAGAAGGAGAGCAGGAGCCAGGGCTGTAGGCCAGTAGGCAGCAATCGTTCAATCTCCCGCAGGCGACATACCCATTCCAGCAGGCCTTTGGGCCACAACCAATGGAAGTGGAGGTGCCACCTCCCCCTCCCCCGATGAGTCGACACCTTCCCCACCTCCACAAGACGTGATCATGACAGATCCGGCACCGGAGGCACAAGGGGACATTGGGGATAGAATGAAGGCTCTGTCAGAATGGCTCCACGAACTACAAAGTCCAATATACACACGAGAGTCATCTTCCCGAGAGTTTTTAGGATCAGACATATGTCGACCTGTTTGAACTGCTAGACAGTAGTCCGAGCCTCAAGCAGGTCCTGGAGCACGGGTTACCGCAAGTGGCCAACTCACAAGAAACTTGGCTCCGGGTTTGGGGTATTGTCCACAGTCAGTTTCAACACCCACCCCTCCTAGTAGGAGCAGACACAACCCATACCAAGGATATTGTCCCGCTACCACAAACCCCTCAGCGCCGACCGCATCGACAACACCCCCTGTTGCCCCACTCCTCAAAACCCCTCCCCCCGGCCCCTTGCAAGAGCCTCCACCGGGCGCACCGTCAACAGACCAAGGAGATGGTGACAGAGAGATGGAAATGCCACACCGACCACGCCTTCGACACCTGATTGAAAAGGGGTTGATTGATGCATAGCCCTCTCCCCTTGGGAGATAAGGTCCTAGTAATTCCAATTGAAAGTCGTGCAAAGGAGGCATTCCAATTGAAAGTCATGCAAAGGAAGTACCTATACAACATCGGACAAATCACCAAGGTGTCAGAGGTATTACGATCAATTGGTACACACACAAAAGGTTTAAGTCATAGAAACCAAGCCTTCAGCCCCTGCAGGAGGAGAACATCCTCCTCTTCCGAAACATTAACCCAACAGGCATCCAAGTCGACAGGATCAATAATCAAAGATGATCTGAGGTAACTGGCGATCTTGACAACCTGTTTGCCGAGTTTCTCAATACCATCCGTAGGTAATACTCGCGGAATGTTACGTGAGTTCCTAAGAAAAGATGAAATGGTCGGTATACGGCTAATCCGAGTCCCATTTTTTGTTTTGTTTTTTATGGGTAATTTTTATATTAAAAAAAAAATCAAAACGGGAAAAGACGGATCTACTACTTTGAGGACAGGGTACTCTATTAATACGCGCTTCGACTTTTTTAGCGCAGACGTACATTCTTTATCCCATTGCCAGATTGCCTCTTTCTTTAGCAACTTGCGTAGGGGAGCGGCGATAGTGGAGAAGTTCCTTGCGAACTTCCTATAGTAATTATCTAGGCCTATGACAACTCTGTCAACGTGCGGGGCGTCGGCCAGTCTCTAATTGGCGCTATCTTGCTGTCCTCTGGCTTAATGCCATCTCCGTCTAATACGTGGCCCAAGTACAGGACTTGTGTCTTGGCCCACTCGCACTTCTTTGCATTGATCTTGAAGTTAGCTTCTCTCAGCTTCTCCAAGACCTGCCTCAAATGACCCTGGTGCTCCTGGAGGGTCCTACTGAATACTAAGATATCGTCTAAGTTAACTACGATGACTCTATCCAACGAAGGTCTAAACAAATCGTTCATGCATCGCTGAAATGTCGTTGGTGCATTGGTCAGTCCAAAGGGCATCACTATGAACTCATAAGGCCCATAACGAGTCCGGAACGCAGTCTTGTATTGGTCATCAGGATGGACCTCTATCTGATGATATCCGAACTTCAAATCTATCTTCGAGAAACACTTACAACCCTGCACCCGATCTAAGAGATCGTCTATCCTGGGCAGTGGTTCAACATTTTTAACTGTAATCGCATTCAGACCCCTATAGTCTATACACATGCGCAACTCTCCTTCCCTTTTGGGGACAAACAAAACTGGTGCTCCAAAAGGAGACGAACTGGGCCTAATCCAACCATTCTCAAGGAGCTCGTCCAACAGCTTGCGCAACTCCTCTAACTCTCTAGGGGACATCCTGTAGACTACTCCCTTAGGAGTTTTACTGCCAGGCTCTATCTCTATCGTGTGCTGGATCGGCCATGACACTACTCCTGTCGGCGGCTTAGCTAAGTCTTTAAACTCTTCGAGCAGCTTGGCAATGGCTGGATTTGTGGAACTATCCCCTTCCTTAGGCTCAGTGACAGGTCTAACATATACTACAAAGACCTGGTCTTCTAATTGCTCCTTTCTCAGTAGTCGCGCGAATGCGGGAGCACTGAGACAACAATGTGCCAAGGAGTTGTCTATTCCTGACACATGAAACAGACGGGTTGTCTTAACCTCGCCTGACGGACTAGGGAGCCTACACTCATGCTCTCTCAAGTGGAGTATGGCCCCTGCTGCCTCTCCCCAGTCCATACCTAGGACTATGTCAAACGGAAGGTCATCCTGTACGAGGAGAGTTAGGGAATGGAAAACTTTCTCTACCTTCCCATCTTTCTCTAGGCGAAAGTACGCCTGGACTCCCTCTACATAGTCCTCAACACGCATTGTGCGGTTGTCTGCGAGGACACTAACTATGGGGTCTGCTAACTTTTGGACTTTCAATCCTAGCCTCAACTTTTTCAGCGCTCTACAGCTAATGTAACTGCGGGTGGCCCCTGAATTTATAAGGGTCCCTACTCTACTTCTAAACACTTTTACATCCACTAACACTAGCTGCCCTTTACTGTCTTTCTTCATTTTGGCCCAGGTTGGCATCCTCTCCTTCAACTCTTCTTCCACGCCTGTGAGGGAAGTGCCTAGAGAGACGCTAACACAAGCAGTTTATGGACAGCTAACTAGGCACGGGCCTGCAACCTCTGCCAAAGGCACATGTGGTGTGGGAGTTTCCTGTATGCACGCGCTCGCTTCCCTACATGGCCTAGTAGTAGGGGCAGTTGCGACCCCTACTGACAGCTGCCTTTTGACTCCTGGGCAGCCCATCGGTCCTGTTTATACTTAGTACAATATTTTATGATATGGGCAGGGTCACCGCAGTAAATGCACTGCCCCTGTTCCATTCGCTGCTGCCACACTTTCTGGTCTAGGCCTAGATCTTCCCAGGGCCGGCCTTGTGGGCGACCCGGGTGCCAACCTCCTGACCATTGAGGTGACTTGCCACCTCGTCGTTGTGGAGACCGACTGGGACCTTGGCGATTTGACGGGGGACCTTGACCCCTACCTCCCGCTTGACGGTTCCCTTGACCGCCAACCCCCTGTGTGCCTGATCCTTGACCTCCCATGGCCTGGCCCCTTTGGCCCTAGCCTCCTCCTCTACCTTGCGGCCTCCCTCCAACCGCGACAGCCGCATAGGACCTCCCCTGACCTACGCTACTGTCCTCCTCCTCGAGGCCCCACTCAATCTGACTGTATGGAACCTCATCAGTACCACTTTCGTCTAAGGTAAGGATCAAATGATCCTTGGCCCTAACCTAGCTTGAGATGGTACGACCCTTCCACTTTTTTCCTTTGTCTAAGTCCTTGTGCCAGAAAGTGGAAACTGGCATGGACTTGGCCTCAAACAAGACCACTTCCCTACTCAACATGTCATACGTGATATTGGGCTGCTGGGTCTTGTCAAAAAAGTACCCTAACAAGGGCTCCGGCATGGCACGATAAAACAGCTGGACCAACTGGGTCTCTGTGACCCCATGGTCCGGGACGGCTACCAAGTCGTTCATGACCGCTTTGAGTGCTTTTGCACTCCTCCACCGTCGCGAGTGGATGGTTTAAAGCTCATCAGTGGCTCTAACGTCTCTCGTGGGATCAGCAAATGGCTCCCTCAGTAGTTTGAGAAAATGAGGAAGTGTGGTAGTCTAAGAGTATGCAACCATGTAGTTTTCACAAATGGCCGCGCGCGCAAGGGACCTGGCAAAACTAGCTGCCTCATCCTTCAAGGCCTGGAAGGCTACGAGGACTTGTTCCTCAGACAAGATGTGTTGTAAGTACACGTAACTATTAACAAAACAAGATGTGTTGTAAGTACACGTAACTATTAACAAAGGAACTTGCTTCAGAAACAGCAAAACGAACTCAAGGGTGGTACCCGTAAGGCCAAGATTTCCCGGCCATTTTTTACGGGTACATAATGTCATTAAAACACGAATAAAGTCAAGAGTTTCACCGCTAGGCTCGAAGAAAGAGTCGAGCCTGGATGGTCGTAACAAGTGCTCTCCGAACCGTGCGAGATGGTCGCCCATCACACGGCTCTCCAACTCAAGTTGCCTTATTATTATATAAATAAAATAAATAAATAAGTCAGAGTGGCCTTCGCACCCTTATTTGACTCATTATTTCTTATTTATAAGTTCACCGAGAATGAGTTGACTCCCAATTATCAAAATTTTCCTCCTCCTTCCCGCCATATGCGTCAGGGAATTTGAGCTTTACTGGCTCCTTGCGGGGATGTGCTTCGGCTTCTGCCGCAGCCACAACTTTGGCGCCCTCAATGGCGCCGACACAAAACTTCTCTGCGCCTTCCATTAGTTTCTTGACCTCGGTCCCGACGTGGGTTACTACGTCGACGTGGGTTACCACGTGGTGCGGAAACTCCCTAAACCCAGATCGGATGGCATGCAAGGTCACATATTGACCCTTGACGGCCTGATGTTCTTCTACCCAGGCCTTGCTCAGAATCTCTAGGTACCCCGGAATCTTATTGAATTTGGCGGGGACCTCGGCTTGTGCCTGCACCTCCTGTCTACAGGCTTGAACCTTCTCCACTTTTTTCGCCACCCTGTTGGCCTCCTCTCTCCTCCTCTTCTTCTCCCTCATCATTCTCAACTTCCACTCCAGCTTATTTTCATCTTCTATTGTTTGGTGTTCCAGGGGGTCCTCTATTGTCTCCAACTCCCTGGCAAACACTTCTCCCTCCTCCTGCGGTACATACAATTGTGCCTCCTCATCCTCCCCTAACGATAAGTTAGCCACCCACTCTGTAATCTTCTTTTCCATCCACGCATCTTCCCCTTTCGTGCCACTTGCCTCCCCTCTCTCTTCTCCACGTCTTCTTTCAAGGGGCTCTTCTTCTTCTTCTTCCTCGTCCTCTGCTGCTGCTTCTTCTTCGGCAACCTTCCTCCTCTCTTCTTCCTCTCGCTCTAACAACATCATCTTCTCCTTTTGAAATCTTAACATCTCTTCCTTTAATCTCTTCTTCTTCGTCGCCTGCTCCTCTGCAATAGCCTTTAACTTCGCCTGCTTCAGGAGCTCCTTCTTCTCTTTCCTCTCCCTCAGGATGGCGGCAATTCGGGCCTGCTCAGGCTCGGATTGAGGGGCAGTACTCTTCCCACTACGGGTGTCGATCATGGTGATTGGTGCACAACCGGACAACGGTTCCCCTCCTCACCACTTAGATTCTACTCCCCCTGACTGACACACCTACTGACTCAATCTAAAGACTTACAAAATCCGGACAGGATCCAGTCAACTAGGGTCTCTAGCCTAGATCTACTCTAAGGCTGTCACTACAAGACCTGTTGCTGATCAGGAGGCATTTCAGGAGATCCCCCGTAACTCCTCAGGAATTATTTAACGTCGCAGATAGGACGACGCGATCAGCAGGTCTTCTCAAGACGTAGACGACCTGTTGTGCAGCCCACAGCTCGGATTTTGGGCCTACCGTGCCACACCGAGCAGCCCGCCGGTCAGTACCGGTCCTTGGGAGGGTTCGTGTCCTCCGGGACAGTCGAGTCATCAAACACAGTCTCTAGCCCTACTCAGCCCGTGTGGGTTTGGTCAACAAGGCCCTATCCTTCATCCACAGAGTTCCTACATCTGGACAGAAGGGACTCGATGCAGAAAGAAGAGACAGACAGACTTGACTCAACAAGTACCACAGGGTGTGTGCACATCCATAGGGCGAGGGGATAGGTTGACGGCTTGGCGAGATTATACCGGCTCCAGCTTGGTCAAACTCGTGGTCAACGGCCTTGGTCAACCCCTTGGTCAACGCTCAGTCAACCCCGGGTCAACCCCCGGTCAACTCTGGTCAACACCGGACAACACCTCCGGTTAACTCTGGCTATGGCGGCCGGCTTCACCTTCGTCGCCACCCTTCTCCTTCCTTTTCCTTACCTCGCCTCCTTCTCTTCACCCCTGCTGGCTTCTTCCTCTTTTTTTTTTTTTTTTTTGTTCGTCTCTCCCCTCTCCTCCTCGGCTATGGCTTCCTTCGCCCTTCTTGGTCTCCTTCCCTGTCCTCTCTTTCACCCTCTTCCATTTCTCTGTGGTCGAGCTCCGCAGCTATGGCCGCCTCCTTCTTCCTCGTGGGACTGCACGGCACACATCATAGGTACGTGACAACCAAACTTGTATCGCTCATCTCTCTCTCTCCCTCTCTCTCGCCGTAGCGATGTCTTCAACGCAGGTACGTAGTTAACCAATCTTGTATCGCTCAACCTTTCTCTCTCTCTCTCTCTCTCTCTCTCTCTCTCTCTCTCTCTCTCTCTCTCTCTCTCTCTCTCTCTCTCTCTCTCTTTCTTTCTGTCTTCTTCTTCGTCGTGGTCTTCTCTGCTGGTGCGCTCGGCGGCTTCTTCAACCTCCGTGTCCGCTATGGGGGACTTCTTCTTCGTTAGCCACTTCGGCTATGGCGCATCACTCTCCCTGCGACACACAACGCTGCGCGTGGAATAGTGGGTACCAGCTCCGATACCAATGCAATCAGACTCGATCTCATTCACACTCTCATGCATGCAAACAGGTGCGCAGCAAACTGGCGACAAGCACCCACTCAGAACTCAGAGATATGGTAACCGAGAACACAGATCAGATACAAGTTCACTTCGATGGCTATGGCGACTCAGCGCCCACACAACTCTCTGTTCGCATTGACAGGATCACCCTGGATATCCCACATGCGGTACTTTGTTCACACTCACACACTCACACGCGGAACTCGAACTACAGCTAAGGCGGCTATGGCCGCTACTACCCTATCGCTATGGCTACGCTCCTTCTCTCCGCCCACTTCGTCTTCGGGCTCACTGCAGACCACCTAGCACAAGTCGTTGTGGCAGCGTTTCTGCATGGCTCACGCAGGAATGAATGAATGACTGGGCGCTGCCTCTTGATTTATACTTCTGCAGCGCGTTGGTCTGGCCCTTTCCCATGCCCGAAGTGCACACAGTCCCATGCGGTCCTTGCTTGACTGGACAAGGACTGACTGGGGACTGGGACTGTTGACTCAGCCAGGTAGACTTCCACCACTTGCCCACTTGCCTCAGCTTAAACGTGGGCAACTTCGAAAGGCCACTACTAGGACCTTCCGGAAGGCCGTAGACTTGGCCTTTCGTTACTGTAGCAACTACGACCTTGACCTTTCCGGACTGTAGCAGCTACGACCTTGACCCTTCGAGACAGCTACAGCTACGACTGCTAGACCTGACTAGAACTCCTACTCGACAGGTCTACAGATCGAACCCCTGCTACCTATGGACCCTACGACAACCTACCAACTGTTACAAATACACAGGTCACGGGTTCAACTCTGAGGGTCAACACAGATACTATACACAGGTAAGGTGGGGACTAGGGATCGAGCCCTGGGATCTGCGGCAGCTACTGCAAGCTGGTGAATACCGTTTCATTAGCCTCTCTAAAATAAATTTATACCCGCCTTCCCCCCCCTTCTTGACAGCCAACTCTCAGAAATTGAAAGACCCCGGATTTGGAGTCCTCTGGGAAAGCTCAGAAAGGCAAAAAAAAAAAAAAAAAAAAAAAAATTTTTTTTTTTTTTTTGCACGCCCGGGTTGAGTTGAGAAGGGTATGGTGACAGACAAGTGTGAGAGACACACAAAGCCGTTCACTCGTAGTCACAGAATGACACGTAGACACATACCACTAATCATTGGTTCCACTTTTCCAATCTTCAAACCCAAGAACCGCCGCGTACCACATTCCACCCCGCATTGATCATCCGCCTTCGTCATGGTTGGAGTCGATAGCGGGACCAAAGAGGTCTTACTAATCCATGCCTACATAGAGGTAGGTTGACTGGGCTAACAACCCGTTCCAGGTTCCAAGTCACCAAAGGTACTACACTATTCTAGAAGTACCGGGTCCATCCTACAGTTATTACCCGCTGACCCCGGATCAAAACTTCCAGACAAACAAACTCACGATCATCAATCAGGTCCTGACCGGTACCTGGTTCGAGCCTCCACTGGCACGGATACCTGAAAAAGTCCAGGCTCACAAACCAAGGGAACGTGTTCAGATGTGCAGTTTGCTAATTCTAGTTCCTCCATCTACAAGCACAAAAAAGACAAAACACATCAATCATGACTACCTCATCTACTCCAACCTTACAAAGCTATCCCTGTTCTACTTCAAAACTACTCATTTCACACAAGGTTGATAGTTCGTCTCCACAGCCGGTCACACTGACTACCAATTGGTGAAAAACCCTGTTCACAAATCTCAGCGGGAAATCCTTCTTAACCACTCCTACTGCAATCCTAACACCCATCTCAGGATCTCGGGACGAATTGATGTGTTCTGATGAATCCGATGCAGGTGGCTGCCTATAACTGCACTCTTTTGCTTCTTGCTACCCCATGAATGGAAAAAATGTCCATTCTGTATGGTCAACTTGTCATGGCTCCAGGTACAGTTCTCATTTCTTGACAGCTGTACGCAACCAATGAACAGGTATGATTGCTGTGTTCTGATTTGGCAGCCCAGAAACTCTGCGGTGCCAGATCCATTGTTCTTTTCAGTATCAGTCCGTCAGGGTAGCAATTAGTCAAGGCCTTGACAATACGCCAACGTGTCTTCTCATCCTGGCTAGAAACAACCAACAACACATCATCAATCAATCTCAGTGCACCAAAAATGCGGCAGTCCCGTCCAAGTGTGCAGATCATCTGATACTCAGAAAAGGCGCACATGATGCAGGCAATAGGAGGGCTCATGCTTTTGCCCATGGGGACACCCACTGCTTGTCTGAGCAAAACACCAGTCGCATAAAAGTACGTGTGCTCCATTTCCAAGTGAACAAATTGCTTCACTGTTTCCAAATCCAGCTTCTTCCAATGATCAGCCCCTGTTGTTACCCCGAACATCGTGCCTTTACCTCAGGTATTTACTCGCACAAATCCATGCCCCTTAGTCAAATGGTACTCAACAATCCAATCCACTGCATTCAGGATCGACTCGTGTGGGAACTTGGAAAACATCTCCTTGATGTCGAAGGAGTATGAGGTGACCAATCGTTCACCAGGTAACTTGCCCAGTTGTTTATTGATCATCGTGCCTTTACCTCAGGTATTTACTCGCACAAATCCATGCCCCTTAGTCAAATGGTACTCAACAATCCAATCCACTGCATTCAGGATTGACTCGTGTGGGAACTTGGAAAACATCTCCTTGATGTCGAAGGAGTATGAGGTGACCAATCGTTCACCAGGTAACTTGCCCAGTTGTTTATTGATCACCTCCAACCGTGCTGGCAAATTTGAGACGGCACGAAGATTGAAATGCCACCTCCTCAGCAAGCTACTCAGAAGGTGGTTCGGAGCCTTACTCATCAGACGACCTGTTTTGACCATTGGTTCGTTAAAGGACGGACAGATTGGTCTGAAACGACGTAAGTCCTGCTTTGGAATCACATATGCAGCACCAAAAGATCCCTTCATATCCCAGCTCACCGACTTGTCAATACCTCGACGTAAGGTGTCTTCGCGAATCTCTCGCAAGATCTCTCCCTCTGTAGTATTAACAATTGGGTAGCCGGTGTTGCAAACAAAAGTACTCATCATCGCAACATAATATGTGGCTGGGCACATAATAACCGTCTCCCTAGGATTTCTATCCACGGGGGAGATGACCAAATCCTTCAGCTTTTAATGCTAGAGCCTTATTCAAAGATAGACAAGACGACATAACATTCCCTAGCGTCAGGCAAGCGGAAATGTCGACTCCAGAACAGTCAGGGGCAACACCACCCAGGTTCTTCCAATTCAAAAATCCCTCACACAGTTCAGTATGCAGCAACTCCAGTCTATTCGTCACCTCGATCTTGGGTACGTTATTTGCATTCGACAATAGCGGGTGCAAATCTGCTACCTCGCGAAGTCGAAACTTAACGTGCTCATTCACACGCAGGAAGTCCATACCTGCACAAGTACAGGTAAGTGCACCATAAGTCGATGCATGTCTATGGTTGTGCAATAGGTCAGCTATCGTAGGATTCTTCGTACCTACGATGCGAATCTTCCTGTGTGCGTGGAGAACAAAGAAAGTCGGAAGATGACAGGTTATCAATAGGTCATTCCCACATTTCTAACCTCCGAAATCACAATTCAGTCATCGAACTTAATCCTAAACGTAAGATCTGAGGCCAAACTCAACTGAAAGCGATCCCGAAAACCACGAGAAAGAAGCCTACGTAAGTACTTCCTAGTGGACTTATTGCTGAAGTCTTTAATTGTGTGATAGATCCGTAGCCAAGCCTTCTTGCCCCAATGACGGATGTCGTACAACTTACGGGGATTCCGTAGGATCCCAATAAGCACCTTCTTTAGGTAACCACCCTTGGATTTTCACTTCACTATGTGCACAATTTCAAAACTTCCACCTGCTTCCAATAAACACTTACAGTCTTTAAGAGTACAACACCGGGACTGAAATTTGACCTTGTTGTCCCCGAAAGACTTCCGAATCTTTTTCCAGTTGGGTGTCCAGTTGGGTGTCCAGTCGGTCCGTCCATCAGATCTTATGGTACAAGGGTGATTACCGTCCTCAAGTCTATTATCAAGGAAGGCATGCAGATCCAGGAAACTTCGTTCGCTTTCATGCAAAAAGAATCGAATGGGCATTACTATCCTCGTCGGTTGGGAATCCACCTTCCCTCTTCTCTGATCCGTCTCCCTTTTCGCTAGTTTCTTTCTCCCGCATTTCTTCCCAGATTTCACCCCAGCAGTGTTTAAAAACAACGACCAACAACTGATATCCAGGTTCTCCAGTTTCGTCAAATCCTTACTGCCAAAGATATCGATAGGGACTAACAGATAATTCCCGCAACCAAACGATGTGATCCATCTGTGAAAATGCGACCGAGTCTTCTTTCTAACAACATACAGGTGCTCACGCCATCTCACAATACATGTATGTATCGTCTTCCTGATATAACATGCCTTGCAGTATGGGGAAATAGCTACGTATATAACATTCGTCAATCTTATGAAGTCAATGCCATGCGCATCGTACAGTCGTAACCACGTATCCACATACCTGTTAAGCCATCGGACTCGATTGTGTAAGGCCAGCAGAATAACTAATAACCATAACAGTTCTTCCAACTTAGTGTTCGTGCAAGCTTGGGAACATCGATGGTGCGTGATATACCTACATAGCTCCCACTAGTGTGTCAGGGGAATATCCAATCACCCTTCTGTTTCCGCGGACTCGTCAGCTTCAGCTCCTCCTAATTCAATCGGACGTACGTCAATTACGTCGACTTCACCCTCGCATCCGAAGTGTCGATGCGCTCGACGTTCGGCTAGGCAAAATATAGCGTCCAACTTACCTTCATAGTGCAGACCCTTCTCTCGGCACATTCGTTGTAGCTCGTCAGCGTTACAACCCTTGATTTCCTTGATGATAGGATCGCGGAACTTCAGTCGTGCCAGCGCCTGGCCGAGGTCAATCTCCCACTTAGCGGAGTCTTCCTAGACTTGTTCAGTCTTGATAAGGGGGTCTTCACTGGTGTGCGAGTCTTCGTTGGAATCAATGTGTATAGGCCCTTTGCCTTACTCTTCGATTGGGTTAACTGCGCATTCGGAATCACTGGCTTGAGGCCAACTCTACGCGGTGTCCGTTTAGCCGGTAACTCCATCGGGGGACTGTCCTCCATCTTCACGTCATCCTTACACTTCCTCTTCTCGGATAGACATAATCTATATGTCTTCTCACTCAGTTCCAGAGTAACACTTGTCTCGCTCTCCTCGGTGTTATAGTCTGATTCCTCGTCGTCGTCGGAGACCAACTCCACCACCTTCTTGGCCTTCACGTCCTTCGCTCCTCTGGTAATCACCGGTAGTAACGACGTCTTCCATTCGTGTAGCCAATCATTCTTGATTTCACTTCTTTATTTTCGCCCTATAGTATTTCAGTCGCTGCATGTAGTGTAACATCCTTCTTTATTTCCGCCCTGGCTATGGCCTCCTTCTTGGCCTTTTCATCCTTCTTCTTCTTCTTAGCTTCTCGTCTGGCCGCTTCCTTCCCTTTTTATCGTTCCTCCTCTTCTTCCCTTCGTTTGGCCTCCTCCTTCAGTCGTTCCTTCTCCCACTTATTACGTGCCTTCTCCTCCTTCTTCGCACGCGCCTCATCGAAGTGTTCCTTGATCGTAGGGATACCTTTTGACAGCCCCGCAACCTTCGCCCTCAACTCTGATTCCCCTTGTTTGGGTGGGCGTCGCCCGAATTCAAAGTGCCTTGGTGAACGCGATCGTCTCGAATCCGTCGAAGTGGACGGTCGACTAGCCCGACGGTTTCGTTGCGGGCATTGGTTAGCGTAGTGTCGTTCTTCTTCAAAGTTGAAGCAAACCACCGGTCAGTAAGCTCGACGTTCTCAGCCCCCACGTTCGTCATCACGTCTTCGATCGTAGTCTTCATCACGTCACCCGGAGGTCAACATCTCGAGCTAGTACTATACACAGGTAAGCAAGGTAAGGTAAGGTAAGATAACACGGTAACAAACACGCTCACTCCAACCCGGTAATCCTCCCCAGGCAATTTCACGTGCGCAATAAATGAGTTGAGAAGGGTATGGTGACAGACAAGTGTGAGAGACACACATAGCCGTGTTCACTCATAGTCACAGAATGACGCGTAGACACATACCAGTAATCATTGGTTCCACTTTTCCAATCTTCAAATCTAAGAACCGCCGCGTACCACATTCCACCCCGCATTGATCATCCGCTGTCGTCACGGTCGGAGTCGATAGCGAGACCAAAGAGGTCTTACTAATCCATGTCGACGTATATATAGTAGTATCAACAAAAGTACTACACGGTCCTACCTCCTCAGAGAGGTAGGTTGACCGGGCTAACAACCCGTTCCAGGTTCCAAGTCACCAAAGGTACTACACTATTCTAGAAGTACCGGGTCCATCCTACAGTTGTTACCCGCTGACCCCGGATCAAAACTTCTAGACAAACAAACTCACCATCATCAATCAGGTCCTGACCGGTACCTGGTTTGAGCCTCCACGGATACCTGAAAAAGTCCAGGCTCACAAACCAAGGGAACGTGTTCAGATATGCAGGTCGCTAATTCTAGTTCCTCCATTTACAAGCACACGTCAATCATGACTACCTCATCTACTTCAACCTTACAAAGTTATCCAGGCTCTACTTCAAAACTACTCATTACACACAAAGTCGATAGTTCGTCTCCACAGTCCAAAAACCCTGTTCACGAATCGGTGAAAAACCTGGGTGCCTAGCCAGACATGAAAATCTTCATAGTTCTATTTTTATTTATTTTTATTTTTTTGGCGTGGTCGGGCAAGTTACCCTGGGCCACTCTGGTGGCCTAGGAAAATATTATATTTTTCGGGAGACCAAAATAAATCAGAAAACTAGTTAGACAAACAACATGAAATAACTCAAGCCCTAATTACATTATTTTATAGGCTACCAACCATTCCGCCCAGGTCACCTCGTTGTCCCAAGCGGCCCGCCCGTGCAAGGACCAAATAAGTCCAAAAAATCCGAAAAAAAACTATGCTATGAAGAAATAATAATTGAAAAACTTTTGCGTAAGGATCACACTGAAATTCTTTACCAAATAAAAAATATATGTATATATATTATTTCAATTTCTAATTTTGGATTTTTTTTCCTGCCCGACCGGGTATGTGGTCCCAAGCCACTCTGGTAGCCTATATTCTTTCGACATCGTCAGGCGCATAGCAAACAAAATGTTTATTGTACTAGGAAGTTTTTCATGCACGGCCAGGCACCCGGGCGTGACGCCAGGGGTACCTAGGCCTGCAAAAAAAAAAAAAAAAAAAAAAAAAAAAAATCTTTTTTTTTTTTTAACCTTTCCTCGCTTTCCCAAAGGACCCCAAATCTAGGCTCGTTTCATTTTCTGAGAGTTGGCTGTCAAGGGGGGGCAAGGGGGGTGTAAATTGTTTTTAAAGAGGCTAAGCGGGGTTAAAGGGGGGTCCTTTAGTGTAATTTTGTTATTTTCTTTTTTATCTCCTATTCGGTGAGGAATTATGATGTGACCCTCAGGTATGAAGTCACAGAGTCATGAAAGCATACACACGTGTGAACACGTAGATGACGCAGTTCAGGACAAAGCAATTGATTGATAACATCGAAAAAATTAACATAGTATTGGCGTCCCCGACGCGTTTCGATGGCAGCCCACGCCGTCTCATCAGGGGGAATCCACCAGTGTTCCCGTACTAACCAAACGGATCTCAAACCCACTTTCGTCCGCTACTTCTACCGGTCTCCGGACACCGGTAGGTCTCGCAAGCCTGTCAGACGACGCTTTTCGACGGCAGCACGCCGTCTCATCAGGGGGAATCCACCAGCGTTTCCGTACTAACCAAATGGACCTCAAACCCACTTCCGTGCGCTACTCCTACCGGTCTCCGGACATCGGTAATTCTCGCAAGCCCGTCAGACCTGAAGGGTTGAATCAATTGCGAACACACCCTATATACCTTCACAAAAGCAAAACCAAACCAAAGTCTAAAACAAAAGATACAAGTCCTACACATCGTCTATCCCACAAGTCGTGGGTTCAAAGATACAAAAATAGCACACCAAACAAAAACAGTCCTGCCCATGGTATGGCAGAAAGGTAGGCTCGGTACCTGTGCCCGTATGCCCCAGGCACTGTCCTACCTCGACAGGTCCAACCGGTCCGACACTAGGTCCAACCGGTCCAAGTGAACAAAACAAAGTACCGCAAAGGGCCAGAAAAAGAAGCAGGCCCAGCAAAAGTCGACAGAACAGCAACTACGCCGAAATAGACGGAACAGGACGGCTTCCCTGTCCGAATGCAGATGCTCAAGTCCATGAGTCGAAGCAACAGCTCCGTATCCGAAAACATAACAACACAGGGCGCCCGAGAGATCAGTCCAAACAAGTCCGGAACCAGGAAATCAGAGCACCCGCATATCTGTCCGTCATCATGTCCTACAGAAAAAATATGCAGAAAAAAGGAAGGAAAAGCTGCAAATGCAGGTGATCAGAAACAGAAAAGATCGCAAACTCGGGGAAAGTCAGCAAACACACACGCCCTAAGTCCGCAGTAATTGGGCAGTGTACTGCCACACCTGGTCTCTTCGGAAAGCAAAACGGTTCAAGACCTACATGAAAAAGGCAGAAGGGAAATCCTTTTTCAGCACCTCCTGCTTCAGGGCACACACTCTTTTCGGGATCTCGGATCGGACAGTTGTGTTGCGGTCAATACGGTGTAGGTAACTACAGATCACCGCACTCTTCTGCCTCTTGCACCCCCATGATAAGTAGGATTGCCCACATTGAATCTGGAGGCGTTCCTCAGTCCATAAAGTGGCTTCGTTCTTCAACATCTGCACACAATTGACGAAAGGGAAACATGTTCTTGTGATAATCTGGCATCCTAGAAAATCGAAACATCCTGAGCCATCATCGGTGCGTTTCAACGTGAGCTCAGCACGGTAGCACCCCTCAAAAGATTGCAGGAGCGCAGTCTTCTTACCCGCGTCCTTGGTTGCCATAGCTAACATCACGTCGTCAATCAAGCGAATCCCGTGGGTCAGGCGAGAATCCCTCCCTATACTTTCCAAAAACTGGTACTCAGCAAACGCACATAAGATGCACACTAATGGTGGGCTCGTCGTTTTTCCCATGGGGATCCCCACAATCTGCTTGAGTAATACCCCTGTTGCATACGTGTAGGTGTGATCGAGTTCCAATCGTACAAAAGCGGCCATCTGCTCAAACTCTAGCAACCGCCAATGGTCAGCGCTCGTCGTTAGCCCGAAAGAAGCCCTTTTACCTCTGGGATTGACCCTGACAGCATTTCGTCCTTTAGCAAGATGAAAATCAAACACCCAGTCAACCGCTCTAATGATCTCCGAATGCGGCAAACGGCTGAACATCTCCTTTATGTTAAAGGAGAAAGTTGAAACCGAGTACCTATCATCAAAGCACACCAGCTTACGATTCACAACAAATAGTTGACTTGCCAAACATGAGACTGACATGAGATTAAAATGCCACTTCTTAGGCAGGGACTTTAGGAGAAAGTTTAGTCCACGTGACACAACTCTACCAGGTCCTGTCCGTACCATGGGCTCCTTGAAAATAGGACAGATTGGACGACATTTGTCCAGATCCTTGTGTTTCGGCAGTACATAAGCCGAACCAAATTCTCCCGCCTTGTCCCATCGTGCAAACTTGGTCAATCCTTTCCTCTCAACATCTTCCTTAATCTCTCTTAAGATCTCCAGATGGGACACCTGCATTATCGGATAACCAAAACTACGAACAAAAGTAGTCATCATAGCGTTATAATACAGCAGCGGGCACATGGCTACTGTCTCTCCTGGATTACGGTCCAGGGGAGACAACACGAAGCCCTCAAGCTTCTCACACAAATCACACACATCCTGCGACGAAAGGTAGGGATCCAATGCGTTGGATCCGGCAGACATACAACCCTGTAGGTTATCAGCGGAAATACACAGCAGATCGCCTCTCCAATTCTGCCAATTCTTGAAGCCGTCCTCGATTTCTAGTTGTAACAAGAAAAGCCTATCACGTCTGACCACCTTAGGTACATTCCTAGCATTGTGTAGCAACGGGTGAGATCCCTCCAGTTCACTGATATGAAAACGAACGTGCCCCTCAGTACGAGGGAACGACATACCTGCACAATTGCAAGTCAGCACATCCCGAGCGGCAAAGGCTCGTTGATTGTGCGCAACATCCGAAACTGAAGGGTTTTTAACCCAAACAATACGGACCTTTCGTCGTGTTCGATTCATAAAACACTGTGGCAAATCACCATCCATAAGGGCATCATTCACTACCTTATGAACTTCGGACATCTTGATACGATCATCGCATCGCACTCTGAAAATTGGATCAGAACTTAAACTCAGATCGAAACGATCGCGAAAAATTCGGGAGATGAGCCGATGCAAATACTTTCTTGTAGACTTTCTGGAAAAATCCTTAATAGCCTTGTATAGACGTAACAACGAGCGCAAATTCCAAAGAGACACATCACCTACCTTACGTGGGTTACGTAGGATCTGGATGAGCAAAGATTTGAGGTACCGGCACTTGGGTTTCCATTTAACCAGTGCACGACTTCGAACACCCCTCCCTTCTGTAAGAGCAGTTTCGAGTCCTTAAGTAACACGGTACACCCATCATGCTTGATCTTGGTCTCACCAAAGGCCTTTCGAATCATCTTCCAACAGGTATGCCACACATTACCCCCGTCAATTATGATCTGCGCATTAGGTAACCCCTCGTTGTAACCCGAGTTTAATAGGTTGTAAAAGTCAACAACCCATGGCTCAGCGGTAGAACGTCTCCCACGGACGACTTTACACTCCTCGGCAACACCCTGTCTCCGACCGCTTAGTTTTCTCCGCTCCCTACGTCCCGGACGTGCCTTCCTTCCCTTGTTACTATGAGAGGAAGAGGAGTTGAGAAAAGGAGACCAGCGTCTAGTATACACAAGCTCAAGCTTACCCAGGTCCTCCCCTTCCAAGTGATCGATGGGTATCAGGGTATAGTTGCCTACCCCAAAGCTCAAAAGCCAACGATGGAAGTGAGCAGGTGTACGGGATCTACATACATACACGTGCTCGCGCCAGCGAGTCATAACATCTCTGGAGGTCTTACCAGTATACAACGATTTACAGAAAGGGGAAAGACCAGCGTACACAACATTTGAGAGATTGAGGAAGCCAATGCCATGTTTCTCATACAAACGTAACCACAACGGTATATACTTCCTAGTCCACCTAATTTCCCCATCCAAAGATAATCGGAGCACAATCAGGCGTAGGATCTCTTCCACACGAAAATCTATACAAGTAGATTGACAGCGGAACCTCGTAATGTACTTGCACAAGTCCCATAGGATCGGAATCTCCAAATTTCGTTAGTTATCCACCAGATCATCTGGCTGTTGCCCTGCCTCGCTCTCATTGACTTCAATGACCTCGGTAACATCGAGGTGGTCCGGGCCAAACTTATCACATACACGTCGGTCAGCTATAGCGAAAATTGCGTCGATCTTACCGTCATAAGGTACTCCCTCCTCCTTGCAAATGCGTTGTAGCTCAGTGGCATCGAGGTTTCTGAGGTCCATTATAACCCCGTCTCGATATCTAAGGCGTTGCAGAGCCCCTGTAGTCAATGGCGTCGCGATCTTAGACGGCGTCTTCAGTATCGCAGCGAGCGGTGTCTTCACAGGTGTCTTACGCTTAGTAGATCCGGGCGACTTCACCGTCTTCTTGGAACGGGTCAAGCGCCCAGCCAACGTAGTGGGCCGCAGGGCTCCCCGCTTCGGAGTACGTTTGGGCGGAAGCTCCATCGGCGGGCTGTTATCCACGACTTGCTCAGGACCTCGCTTTCTCTTCTCAGAGATGAAAATCCTTCCTGTCCGCTCACTTAGTTCATGAGTTACGCTAGTGTCGCTACCTTCGTCAGCTGAAGAGCCGCTGCCGGATGTGTACGTCACCTTCTTCTTCCCTTTTTTATCAACTCCTTCAGAGGTTCAATCACGCACTTCATCTTGGCGGAGAAGTTCTCCTCCATCTCACTCAACCGGATCGGTAGGTGGATATCATTATCCTTCCGAAGCTCAGCCCTTCGCTCAGCCTCCAGTTGCGCTTCCCGTCTAGCCTTCTCCATCTTCTTCCTAGCCTTTCGTTCCGCCAACTCCTGTTCAGCTTTCTCCCGCTCCTCAGCCTCCTTCAATTCGAGCTTTTTGTGTGCCTTGTCCTCCTTTCTCTTTACCTCGTCATAGAAGTCCTTCATTGCTGCTACGGATTTACCGAGCTCAGCTACAGTACTCAACATCTTCTCGCTGCCAGGCGGTGGTGAGTCCTCCCTCCGTCGATAGTCCCTCCTGCGTGGAGAGCGTCCGCCTCGTGAGTCGCTGGACGTGGATGGCTTGTCGATATAATGACGGCAACGATTCCGTTCAGGGCATTGATTAGCATAATGCCCTGGTTCATGGCAGTTATAGCACGTAGGTGCTCGGTAACGCCTACGATCGTCATCCCTTCGCTCCTCGTCCCTCCGGTCTTCACTGCGCCGATTATCTCCTCCACCACGATCGTCTTGCTGCTCAGTCCCAGCCATTCCGGGCAGCAGGCTTCACGGACCACAGTGTACACCAAAAGCTCCGCAGGCGCAGTCTTCAAACAGCAGCAGCGGTCACAAGCACACTTGATCTTCGGTCTTGGTCTTCGGCAGCATCTCAAACACGTCGATAGTCAAAGGAGTAAAAGAGAGTAAAAGAGAGTAAACACGCTCACTCGGAACCCAACAAACTTCACTCCAGGCGAGTTACCGTGCGCAATACACAGGTATGAAGTCACAGAGTCATGAAAGCATACACACGTGTGAACACGTAGATGACGCAGTTCAGGACAAAGCAATTGATTGATAACATCGAAAAAATTAACA